CCTTTCATAGTAGCTATACTGAACAGGGTTTAAAAAAATAAGAACATAGCATAACTTGAGAGTGGGAAGACTTTGAACTTAAGCAGTCCCGGCCCTTACACCAAGCCCATCCAGGTTGTATTATAAGCAAATGACCACTACATATGAGGGCATCACTGTCTCTGAAGAAATCAGCTGCTCCTTACTTCTCCCAAAGTAGCTGCTCCCTAAAACTCAAAGATCTATCCCTCCCAACAAGGCCCCCCAAACTGTGGATATCTGAAGCAATAGCCTCCATTACCATGCCTTAAAGCTATGGTTTTCAAACCTTGGTATAAAAAAGAGTAACCTAAAGCACTTGTTTAAAAGTACATTCCTGGGTCTTTTTCCTCAAAGTCTGATTAAGTGAGTTGAGAGTGGAGCCCTAAATCTATTTTTTTTAACTAGGTTCTCCCAGTATTCCAGTGCCAGTGGTATGCAAACTTGATTGACATTACTGCCACCATTTTCCCCATGGCTTCACTCATACAAATAGTCAATATGATTTCAAGTAAATAATTTTGCCAACACTTCTCACCTGTTTCTAAAAAGTAAATGGCTCCATACTGTGTGATTTCATTTCATGAATATTGCCACAATTTTATCAATGGCAATAACTTCAGGTCCAGAGATCTTCTTTCCTAGGATCTTCAAATTTAGGTCATTTTTCATTTAGGTAGTTTTTTTCTTTAAAAGGAGAAGATATTTATTATCATTAGTCAATTCTAATGAAGCAAGGTGGTCATGTAAAAACCCCTACAAAAAAGGAAAATCACACCAAAATCATATCTTTGAATTTAGTCTTTTGATGCATCCTAAGCACCACCCAAAAGTAAAATTATGAAGAGTTTGAGATATTCTAAATACCTCATTTTGGATACAGAAACCAGAACCTAAACAAGTGAAGTGTCTCGCCCAAGAGCCCAGAGTATCTCCTTGATGAGGCTTCTCTCTCTACTACACCATGAAGCATGGTACCCCTAGTCTGTCTCTTATATTGTCAGTAATTCACAGATGCTAAGAGGATGCAAGCACGCCTCCATGAGCAGGCTGGACTTCAGTTAAAATCACTGTCAGTGTTGATTTTTTAGCACAAACCACTTGAGAGCTGAACAGCTGGCCCCAAAGTATGCTAAGAGTCAAGAACAAGATAAATCATCTGGGGTGAAACCTTTGCTCTAGATAATACATAAACCCTGTGTGTGACCTGCAGGACTGAGAGAAAAATCCTTTTTACAGAAAAGATGATTAAGGCTTAATCTATAAGTAGCTATGAAGTTTGAGGAATGCAAGTAAAAAACAATTTCTGCAGGAAAGGGGAGTGTGTTGACCTGTTCTTACATATTAACCAGATGATTTGGCCAAGGTTATATATAGTGAACTTGAGACAGGTCTACAGAGAACAATTATGTCGTGACTCTGTGATGTGTTGTTTAATCCCAGCCATACTCCCTCCCAAACAAAACTTCTTTGTTATTGATTTACACTCATGGGTACCAAGAAGGCAGAACCAAAAAGTCTAAGACTACACAACTAATCTAAAATTTATTAGAATTCAAGGTGGGAGTTAAAAGTAAAATTCCTATTAGAAACCTGGCGCTGTGTGTGTGTGTGTGTGTGTGTGTGTGTGTGTGTGTGTGTGTATTATCTATATAAAAACGACATGACTTAGTTTGTACCAATCACATTGGAAATCTGATTTATACATGTATGTATTTAATGGGAAAAGTCCTGATTATGATACAGCTCTTCTGAGACCAGGGCAGTATTGATTTCTTGGATTTCACTTTGGAGGATGGCATTTGAATCGCTTTTGCCTTGTATAGCTATAATAAGCAGGTTTTGGGCTTAGCGTTCCAGGTAGGGCTTGGTGGCGCCTCGCATATGGTACGTGATGGGTTACTCTATGCACTAAGCAGCAAAGCAGGGATAGAAGGTAATTTGGTGAGATTCCATCACATTTCATTTGGAAAACAGTGTTGTCTCTGTTGGAGCTAAGGTTAATGGTTTGGATTTGCATGTGTTTCTACAATTTGTTTTTACATAGCTTTTGAACTGAAAACAAACAAAAGGCCTAATGTATGACCAAGGTAAATAAAACCTACCAGACTCATAGAGGCCCAAAATATGTTTCATTTATATGACAAGCTAGTCAGTTTGGCTATTAATTTTTACAGAATCCAGAGAAAGGCATTTGTAAACAAGAACTTATTACAAGAATTCTCACATGATATTCACAATAAGCTATTGAAACATGCCTTGAAGGAAAAGAAATTGCTGCAGACCCAGGTGTGTCCTCCGTTCCAGGCAACAGGGCTGGTTTGGGTGTTCAGGGTCTTGAACCCAGGAATCTTTGATTTGATTCCTCATTCCTTTCTGGCACTGTGTTGGAGTATCACACAGGAAACCAGGGTTTCTGAGTGGAGAGGGGACACCCAGTAAGTCCAGTGTGCCATGTACCACACCAGGGGAGATAAGCAGGTGTGTGCTGTGGAACAGCACCAGGTCACCTGCCCCTGCAGTATGGGAAGGGAATGCCTCCGCCCCGATGGCCTTGTCTAAGGTGGCCATCTGTTTACCACCAACTGGTGCCAGCAGCCAAGTCAGCACAGGATACATCTCAAGTGTCCCCTGCAATGGCTGAGATGTAACCTGCTTTCTCCTGCCTTGGACTTTGTTCCTTTACTCTTCTTGCTCAGCTGCCTGTCCTTGAAAAAGAAAAGCAAAAAGACTTCATTTTTTGAGGCTGCTGCAGCAGCTCCTGATAACTCTTAATAATGAAGTGCAGAAGGCCATTAACATTCATCCTGCTTGGCTTTTACTCACCAGCCTCTGTGATAGCCCCGATTGGGCTGCCATGTGTGATCTGAACGAATAAAGCAGCACAGACCCAGGAGTGTGAGTCAGCAAGCGGCCTGCACGGTCCTCAGTCTTTGCTCCCTCTGACAGGAAAAAAAAAAAGAACCTGTTTCAAAGTCCCTGAGTGAAATGAACGAAGAGTAAAGCAAAACTTTACCCTTCCTGGGAGGGGCCGTGTGGTGTGGACTGAGAATGGACTCTAAAATCAAAGAGATTTGGTTTAAAAATCCTTGTTCTGGTGCTGATACCCAGTCTAAAGTCATTTCCCAAACTGTAAATAAGGAATAACGATATCTATTCCATACAACTAAGAAGGTTAAATGAGAATATACATGTAACAATGTAGCACAGAATAAGCAATGTTTGGCTCTTTAATAAAATAGTAACTAAATCTGCTTTCCATCACAGAAGTCAGAGTCCATGACATGAGCTCTCAAGGTTAACCAATTCCCTGTCAGAAAGAATGTGATACTGAACATCAGTAACCTCTAAACAACCTAAATTACCTTTTCACTCATTGTAAAGCACAAGAATCTACAAGCTGATATAAACTTGCATGCTCTATGTATTGTCCCCATTGGAGATTTACCAAAGAAGAATGGAGGCAATAGAATAGCCACAGAGGGGAGGAAGTAGTCCAGATATCATATAACTACATGCATGCTCAGAGGACACCACAGCACATGACATGACACCTTGTAGTAATATCATTCTTGCCATTACAGGCTTTGCAAATGTAAGTTCAAGTTGACAGTTACTAACATCTACTATAAACCTTCTGTGCAAGATATTTGGCAAAGATAGCTGAAAGGACTTTGATATCAGTAACTAGGCAACTGTATAGAAAAGAAATTGAATATCCTGCAAGTTTTGTTTGCATGGTTAATAAAAGGAGCTATTCCAGATCCTGCCTCGACTTTTAATAAACTGATCTAGCTGGCTCTATTCATATTGTCTTTCCAAAACAACAAAAAGAGCTACTCTTACTTTGTACCAAGAAACATAAAACATTTTATATATATATATCATTTCAACTTAACAACAGCACTCTGAAGTGAGTGTCACTACCCCGTTTCACAGATAAGAAAACGGAGGCCTAGGGAAGTAATCAGCCTGGGGTCACACATTCAGTTGTGAAAGCAGGATTTGAAAACCTCTAGGTCATAAGTGTTCTAAACCCATGCTCTACTCATCAGGAAGTATAAGTCACTTTGTCCTATTCCCTGTATGGACCATGACTTTTCTATCTTCAGAAAAAAGATGCATTCAGGATTATTAGCGAACAACAGGCTCTGAGAATGGTCATTGGTACACATGGCATAGTGAAAGGTAAGATGACACAACAAACAAGCATTTGCCTTGAAGGCAGGAGACCCAAGCTCAAGCCTTGCCATGGTTCCTTCCTTGTCATGTGATGTTATACCCATTACTTATCTCTAAGCCTTGCATCCTCACCTATAAAGCTTCCTCCCCTCACAATTATCACAGTCAATGCAGTAATATAGGTGAGTTTGCTTTCCTACTCATAAGTCTCTAGGCAAATGCCTGCTGTTACTATAGTTCAATTATAGTGTCACTATTGACTTGCTCTTCAGTCTTTGGAAATATCTCCTGACACCTTAACTTTCTCATCTATAAACGACAGCCGATGATACAGCATCTTTCAGTAATACCCGCCAGCAGCCATTCTCAAATCTTAGCAAACTAAAATCCTTTGGCGTGTTGGTAAGCCAGATTCCCAGTGGTTATGATCCAGCACAGTTGGATGGAGCCTTGTAATATTTACTTTAAGAAGGACCCCACATAATTTTGATGTAGATGGACCATGATCACTCTCAAAAATGCTGCTCTGTGAGTTCAGTATTACAAAGTACTGTGGTATCTGTGGGTAAAGAACTAGACTAGATCGCCTGTAACACAGCCAGAACTGAGCCCTTGAATCCTGACACCTATAGATCCTGTTGTTCTGACCATACCACTGGGACTCAAGAGAACATCAATGCCTTGTCATGGCCACTGGGTAACCATGGGAGCGGGGTGATTTTAGAGTAAGCTTTCAGCACTCCACAGACGTCTTTAAAAGCCTAATTAAGTGTCATCATCTCTTTGTTCTTCCTCTACAGACACATTTGCGAGCAAAGTGGCAGCCACCCAGGACCAGTATGCAGATGCATCCATCGGTAACGTCACTGGCAGCAACGCAGTGAATGTCTTCCTGGGAATTGGTGTGGCCTGGTCCATTGCTGCCATTTACCATGCAGCCAATGGGGAACAGTTCAAAGTGTCCCCTGGCACGCTAGCTTTCTCTGTCACTCTCTTCACCATTTTTGCTTTCATCAATGTGGGGGTGCTGCTGTATCGGCGGAGGCCGGAAATCGGAGGTGAGCTGGGTGGGCCCCGGACTGCCAAGCTCCTCACATCTTCCCTTTTTGTGCTCCTATGGCTCTTGTACATTTTCTTCTCCTCCCTGGAGGCCTACTGCCACATAAAAGGCTTCTAAATGAACAATCAGATATAGTAAATTTATATATATATATATATTATACATATATATACATAAAAAATTATGTATAATGAACAGAGGAAACTGACATTTGTCATGATCGCTTACCTGCTGATGGAATCCAGCTTCAAGAGCATACTCTGACTAGGGCTGAAGTGAGAAACCGTCACCTCCCATTCCCAGGGGCATCGTCACGTTGACAAGGCATGGAGGCAGGGCCATCTTTGCAGCTCAGACTGACAGGGCTGTGTTCTCTCCAGGTGCATAAATTGTTAAGTCTTTGATTTGTTTTCTGTTTGGGCTTGTTTTCAGTGGGGGCTGGGGAGGTGGTTGATGTTTGGCTTTTATTTTGTTCCACTTTGTTTTGTTTTGTTGAAAGGATAAGAGTTTTTGCTTCTCTTGTGGGAAGTGATGACCAATCTAAATGCAAATGGGTTTTTGGTAAAAATGTAAAGCCTTGAGATTACTCTCCCTTCCTCCAAACACTTTAAAAATTATTTTGGATTAAGAAAGAATATGGGCATGGAAGAAGAAAGAAGCATATCTTCACCATGTTACTAAATCCAATGTTTATCTCTGGACCGTGAGCAGAGAAGAAACCGCCTCCAAGAAGCAGCATTGGAGCTCGAAAGGAGCGGGGAAAAGTGATGGTTCTAGATACCATCAGATACTTAAAGATGTGACGCCTGACACTCTTGTTCAACAGGTACAGGGATAACGTGCCTAGAATCCCAGGAACATGCAAAATCCTTTCTTTCTTATCTCTTTAGCTCTGGACTGTGGTTAGCAAGGTCCTTCTTCTGATGTTCCATCCCAGCTAACTCCCAGGTCCCTGTCCCCACCCTCCTCCTCCTGCCCACCACTCCTCATGCAAACAGGAAGAATAACCCCGTTTAAAAAGCATATCATCCTTTTCCATTTACATCAATAAGTGTGCCCCAGTCCCATGTTGCTGCCTGGGATCATCCGTCAGTTTTATTTTCAAAAGCATCCATGGCTTGCTCAATCCTGTCCTGATCATGACTGAACATTTGCTCCTTCTTCATGTGCCTGTTTGGGAATGTTGTCGTGATACCTGTCACACAGTGCATGGACGAAAAACAAATAAAACAAAACAAAGCGTATCTGTATATAGTAGAGTAGAGGATATACTGGTCTCCCATTCAGCAACGTTGATTGGACATTGAAGACATAAGTGAGTTTTCTTTTCACCTGAGTTGTAACTTTTGTGTTGTTATTGAGTTTATGACTAGGGATAAAAGGACGAAATGGCTTACTGTTCATGGATCTGCACATTCATTTCTAAGAAGCAATAACTGTCATGTGGGAAGTTAAAGCTATTGAGAGGACAGCAGGCAAACTACAAAGTATCTTCATGGAAAATTAGCCATGTGGAACATACCAGAGGCCTCTAAAAACTCACCTGTTGATTCACGAAGGCCAAGGAGAAAGGTGTAGAGAAATGGATGCATTAGATGTGCCTGGGCTTCGAGAGCCTCCATTTTCATAACACCCCTGCCCCTAAAGTATTTATTTCACATCTGCTCTGTCTGGCACAGATGGTAGATAGTGCTGGTTTGTTAGTTTTATTTTTTTATGTAAAAGGCTATTTTGAGCCCTGTTTCTTTCACCGTCCAGACCCCTCTGATTGTATCTGCAGCTCCTGAGTAGGAAAGAAGCCAGGGTGACCAATGGGCCTTTAAAAGTGAGCCTTCTCTACTTAAGACTAAGGAGTAAGCCATTAAATGAGAAGATTAGCGCCTCCCAGGAGGATTGCACTGGGAGGTTTTTAACCCTGGAAAAGGAATGGCTCTTTCTAGTGCAGAGTACCAAAGAGCGTGGATAAACCCACATTCCAAAGCAGTGAGTCCACTAATGAGGAGAAATGGAATGACGTTGGTCCCCTCTCAGAGACTTCTCTATTTATAATGAATCCCAGGCTGGAGACACCCCTGGTCCTCTGTATTTATTCAAAGATACTTAAGAAATAAAAGCTGTTGAGAGTTATTTTCTCCCACTCAGTGATCACGATCATTATTTAATAAACATTTGGTGACTGAATGAATAATTAAATGTTGGTTACCCACTAGCTATGCTAGGTCCTGTGCTACCCCCTGGGGACCAAATCGTGACCTAGACAGCCCCAATCCCTGCCCTCAGGGGGTTCACAGTGAACATGACTGCTATTTCCATGAGTACAATTAACGCAGCCACATGGAAACAGATTTATCTTGCAAGAAAACAACATAATTATGAAACTCTTAATATAAACACAGTGAAACTGTACAAATACAATTGTCCAAGTACCTAAGATTTTCCTGAACTAAGAGCGTACAAAGCATAGGTTAGGAAAAACATCCTAGGTGTCCTTGGCCAGTCTTGCAGAAAGATACATCTCCTCATCCTAAACCAAGAAAGGCAACCACATTGGGGATTCATGTCATTGAATAGGCCCAGATAATCCCAGTTTTTATCTTGGTTGGACAGCAGTACTTTTCTATGCCCCACACCTCTTCTTATTCCCTGAAGATTTACCCCTGACTTTTCATGGCCCAACACACTGGTGGCCTAACTCCTGTGGCGGCACATTCTAACCTATTTTTTTTTTAAGATTTACCAAATGGAAAGCTAGCCTAGAAACACCAAGTAAATATTGTCAAGGGATGTGAGTTGTTTAAACATTAGAAAGATTTTGCACTCATCTTTAGCTATATTTGAATGTCAATGATGCCACAGCAAATTGTCACAGAGGACTTTAAGAAATTCTTGCCATTGGTCAATTTCAATTTCAAAGCTTTTAGGTTTGTTTGTGATTTAAATTTTTATGTTATAGGGAAAATATTCTGGTCATGCAGGGTTTATTAATAATTATAGTTGTGTAAAATTATTTCATTCTGTTTATTTTATTTTGTGTGTATTGTGCACAGCTTTAGGGGGAGTGCACTAATTGTGCTGTTCCTTATACATGGTACACATTATTGACACAGACAAATAAAGTTTCTAATTGTTTCTGACTTAATCACTAGTGACACAGCATATTCTATATGGAATGTTTTCTCTCTTCTCATTGTCATCTACTTCATTTTTTTGTTTTCATGTTTTAAAGAAATAAAAACCCAAAAGGTATTATTGTGCAATTGGTATCCTCATCCAAAAGAAAGAAAACAGATATGCTAGTATTGAGCTCTTACAAATGTCAACCCTTTGGTCATTTGACGTTCCCTTTTTAATGTCCCAAGAGAGCATAGTGTCAGAATCTTGTCTATTTGACAGTGTTGAGATAAATGTTGGACATTTCTCCATTTCGCTGTTCACTAATTGTTTTTTTTATATAATCTGGTACCACTTTATCTACATTCTTTCTGCATCCAGGAACATTAGCCCGTAGTTACACATCAGACCACTTCTTAGAGGATGGAGTCTTATATAAAATCAATCAACCTCAATAAAACCGATCATCGGAAGTGTGTAACTAGTTGCTTCCCAAAGGATGCTCAAGTAAATTGCTCTTTTAGAATTATACACATATTGCATTCCTCTTTATGTATTAATAATTTCTGACTATCTAATTTATAAGTTATTGACTTCATGTGTCAAATAATCAAAACGGTACAGGAAGAGGTGACATGAATGAAATAATTTGTGGGGGTAAAAATGTGACCTCTAGTTAGTCTGTGTACTTGCTTGCAAGTCCATGTTATATCTAGATTTAGTTCTCACTACAATAGATAGTATTTGTCCACTGTGTATGTGTAAATAATACTTTATTTACCTGATCATTAAAATGTTTAGAATTCCTCATTATATTAATACATGGCCATATGTGGAACACTTTCATATGTGAAGGAAATAAGGTATAATTTAAATATTTTCTTGGATCAACAATTAGTATGTTTCCTAGGACCCAATCTTTGGTTTAACACAAAATGAGCAGCCAACATTTACTTCTTTAAATAGCAAAAAGAGTAATTCAATGACCAGAATAGCCTTGACTGTTTAACAACCCTTCAGCAAAATGCCATGGCCCAATGATTCTCAACCTTTTATAAGCTAATTTTAATTTTTTCAAAGATTCTAATTTAAGCCTGCCACCACTGAAGATTTTATAGAGCTTTGCTTTCCATGGTTCACAGCATAAATACACTGTTTTAACTTGTTGCTTTTCAAAAAAATATATAAAATATGCTGTTTTAAACAACCATGAAGATATTCTGATAGGTAGCTGTCATCCACTATGAGAATCTCTAATGCAGCACATTTTCCCCAGAGGTCTCACTATTAATAAAAGTTCACCGCCCATTCTGCCTTTTCCACACAGGCCTTGAGTCGTTGTTGGTTCCACAGTCTGGGGCCCCTGATCCTAACCTGTCAAATGAAGTGAGAGTAACTCTAAGTACATCTGAGAACTTTGTGGAAGCAATTAGAAAAATAACAAATTTCCTCAGGTAGATAATAAAGCCCTCTGTTCTCTAACAGTGACAAAACTTCACTTTTTCAAGAATGTGAATCAACCCCTTTAAGACTTCATTCAATATTTTTGGCTCAAGGTATGGAGTCTCTCTTTTGATTATGGTTTTCTGTCTCTGATCTTAGGCAGTTAGATCCAGAGCCAGCCTTGAGTATAGTTTCATGACCTGAAGACCATTTGGCCATTTCACAATTGACCATGTACAACACTGGATCTCACCTTGACCTACAACTGGCATTTGGCTTTTGTGGTACTAATCACTTCATTCAAACAAGGCCTTCTGACTATTGGTAAAAGTTAGCCTTGCAATCGATAAAAGAGTGCATTATGTAGCAGAGACATACAAAATCATATTTATCTTAGAGAGAGAGAAAGGTAATGTTATGAGTGAATTCATTGGCTTTCGTTCCAATCTACCTACGAGTTTTTGGTAATAGATTTAATTTCTGCTCTTCTTTTTAAGCATTATGTTCTTATCACTTCTAGCCACATTCATTGCCTTCTACCCACCATATTTCAAGTGTTGGGCCATCCTGATGGTATTTCACCAACTAGGAGAGCATAAGAAGGGGAAATATTGTAAATGTTAGGCATTTCATTTTTAGAGCTTAAAGAGGCCATGGTTAATCACTTCTCAAAGCAGAGAACGTCTTATCTATGGAAGGAGCAACCACCGAGAGGTGGGTCTCCCAAGGGAGAGATTGCTTCAGCTTTCCAGTCAACGAGAAATGGTGAGTATCTAACTTTCTGTCATTTTTTCCCTGCCTGCCACAAGGTCCAAAAAGATACATTAAGAGGCTCTCCCAATTTTCAGTTTTGTCAAAGTTCCTCTGATTCAATCTCCTATGGGACATTTAAATCAATGGTCATTGTATAAATTATTTGCTATTTTTATTTGTAGGAAAAAACATTACTTCATAATTTCAAAAAGCAATGTGACTTTGTAGTTAAAACTATGGCTCACATCTTTACAGGAAGACTTGCTTGCCCAGAATTGCCTGGTCTCTGTAATCAGTGCTGTACTTCACAGATGCTTGTCCTGCTTTGTGTTTAGGATAATGCAGTCCTAACTTTTTTCAAAGGTCCGGAAAGGTGGTCCTTTGAGAATATGCAATCTTAAGCTTTCTCTTTTCTATTTCCAACCTTTGTCATTTTTTCCATGACTACTTGCATCATATTCATCATCCTTCATAATGCTGTTATTTCTCAGCAATGGGGAAAGGCTCATGCAAAAATGTTTTGAACATGATTTTCTGAAAGTTAAAATTTGTCAGAGGAAAAATCAAATACAATGACATTCCACCTGGAAAACAGTCATTAGATCGTAACATATCATCTCTATAAACATTTAGGATAGATTATAGCCTACAGCTACATGCTATAGCAGATTGTTGATTTTATTCCTATTTGGATCCATCACATATTTTCATATTTCAGTGCCCATTTCTGCACTCTTTATTTTATCAATAGATGCAGGTATGCTTTAGGGATAAGGACCCCCCCACCACATACACCTCGAAAGGTGATATAAACAGAAAAACATCATATATAGCTTCCATGCCTTCAAGAAATATGAATGGGTCAAATGCATCTCTGTGGTTATTACATTCCTGATGTGCAAATGGTAGGGAAATTCTCATTAATAGCAAAACACACTAAGAGAGAAATTAGCTAACTTCAATGTCACTGAGTCAATTTTGACAGTTAATGCAGAGCCCAGCCCTCCTAATTTGTTGACTGCAAATATATAAATACTTTTCAAAATATTTCACGTAAAAAATAGACTAAATTGCATATTTAAGATAAAAGTGATATGATCCACATGTTTAGTTTTGAGAAAAATAATTTTCTCTATAGGTACCTTTCTACCTTCTTATACTGATCTGAACATTAAACTTTCAAAAATACTCCAAGGAAGAAATCATAAAAGATTTTACATTCTCATAATGTTCATATAATTGGGCGATATAATTAAGATAATGATGTGGGTGAGAATTATCTATATGGTTGACAAGAACATTTTAAAAAATGAGAGAATGAGCAAAAAGAAAATATGTTAAGATTTCATCACAGACTACCCCAGTTTCAGATATTTGAAAGTCATTACCCTTAGGGGAATAGATTCCCAGTTTCTAGAAATGACAGCACAAGTTAAACTTATATTCTCCATTTTTTATGAGAAAATCAAAGCTGAGCATATTTAAGTTTTGACTTTAGCAACCAAAAAAGAAAAAGTACACTTTTGGCATAATTTTCCATATTAGTGAGTTATTTTGTGGAATACATTGGGCCTATATAGGTGTCTCGTAAAACTGCCTCTAATAATTTCCCTCTTCTCTTTTTTTAAAGCCATAAAGTTTCTAAATTTTATAACCTAATACCTTGACAATTTAATTTATAAATGGCTGATTCCATTTTTATGTTTATATTTCAGAATTTAATGTTTTAAATAATCATTACCCATCTGATGGGTAGTGAGCTTGAGGCTAGCCCAAATAAACAACAAATCCTAGACAGACCTACCAGTAGTTAAAAGGCTTCTGAAACACTGGCCTTTTCTTGCACAGCAAATAGAAGTGCTGTTTTTTATCTTCTTTCTACCAAAAATGGCCATTTCGACCAGTGTAAAAGCAAACAAAAAAAGGTTTGAAATGCTAGTTTGAAGGTTATTTCTATGAGAATTAGACACAGTTTTGGCATTAAATTTCCTCTGTTCCATCTCTTCCTAGAGCACAGAGATACACACATAAATACAAAAATAGATGCTGTATGTCAAATAACTTGAATTGCATTTTTGGATGTTTAGGATTGGCCTAAAAGCCCATGTCAGGTTAGTGTTCCTTTTTATCAGATCTCTTTTAAATGGAAAAAGGTAAGAGATGTGGAAGGAAATACATTCCTGATTTTTTTTTCTTTCTAGCTAAAGATGCAAATTCAAAGTTGTTTGAAAACTACTTAGAATACTGTTAATTATATGTATCCTTCTAAAAACATGAGTGGATTTCTTTTAAAAGCAATTCATTTTTCTTTTCTTCATTTAGTAAACATTTCTGATAGAAAGTGTTTATGATCAGTTAGGACTTCTTTCTGACATTTCCAATTACCCTCTTTGCCTTTTTTGAGGGTGTTGAAAACAGCTCTTGAAAAAATATCCTTGTCTAGGTCAAATCATGGGGAATTAAAGAGATGAGGTTTTGCATTTCCTGTGGAAACACAGCACTGAGCAGGCAGGCTCCCATACATCAGTTGATATTATCTAGAAATGTGTTCTGGCATGTTGGGAGCAAAGGGATAGGAGTCCCACCCAGTTTTGCCACAAATACCTAATCATCTACCATCATGTAGATTCTCCTCTAGCTGCAGTTTATCTTATTTTCAACTGAAACAACACTTAACTTTCATAATTGTCTTGCCCCTATCATTTTTCTGCCAAGATCTTACTAACAAACTAGCCCTTTCAACTGGTTGGTACATAAGATTTCTCCAAGAGGAGGGATAAGGAGTAGTAGTACAGAGTGGGACACAATATTTATGCTAAATCATTGGAATCTATTTAACCAACCGCTTTATTACATACTGGACCCCATTTAGGACACTTAGTATTGGAAATACTAGAAGGATTTTATTGCTATTTCATCAACAAAATTTTTGTGTTATTAGATCTAAGCAAAGGATAACATCATGCAAAAACAAAGTTATTTTTATTAGCTACGAATCATGTTACAATTTGCGAGAAAATGTATTTTTGATGTTTTAGTCTAAAACTCTAAGAACAGATTTTTTGCTGCCATCGGTAATCCTATAAGAAATTTGACACTCTGAATCTTCTTCAAGACAGATGTTGCTATGGTTAATGTATGCATAAGGCTTAAAATATTCTTGATATTCTCAGGTTGTTCTCGCAGATCTGCACAGATTTACGTTTTTTTAAAAAAAGAGTATCTTTCTCATCAAATAGATTGGGAATTTTCCCAATAACTGGTTTCATTTTGTTAAGAAATGAGTCTAGCATCCACAGAAGCTGCGAGAGTAGATTGCATCAGCAACTCTGCTTCTATGTCCCCTTTTCCTACTTGACTCTTAATCACTGCGCATGTCTTTCAGAAATAACTGTAGATGGTGAGAGGAAGCTGAAAGGAAAAGATGTCCTCTCATTCAAAATAAACTAAATTTGCTTATCACCTTTAAAACTTTGTTTAAATTTTTAAACATAAATACAAAACAAAAAGTGATGCTTTTAAATAACAAATCTGAAGCAAAGATTGCACTTTTGAAAGCTATGAAGAAAATGTACATTAATTGAGACATGGGATTTAATAACATCAGTGTTTAACCACTGCCTTGTCCACATTTCATTCCTACAGTTTCCAGTAGCAAACAATTCATTGGGCAGGGGAGACAGATCATGTTTGATGTCATAGTCACATCACCATTCTGCTACTAGATATGGTCAAGAACTCAGTAAAATAGCCAACCCTAGTTCTTGAGCCAGACAACCATTCCCATAATGGATATGATCTACGAGCATTCGTACAATGCCAGAAATATTTTTTTCATTTGATGTGAATATTACCTATAGCAATTCCTTTCTGCTGTGAGCCAAATTGTTTTGTTTGATTCAAACCTTCCCAAACAGTCATGCAGCTCAATCACATGCTTATTGCCTGCACAAAAGGTGAGCTATCTTTTCAAACTGGTTGCCATAGAACCAATTTTTAAAAACACTGAGAAAGCGCCATAGCCAAATGGATTGGACCTAGCAATGAGGAGTCAAAACTGGGATTTTTTTTCTTTCCAGCCAATGCTCTGACACTCCAACTCTAAAAGTGATTATATTATTAGTAAAATGAAAATAATTAATTGCTTTGTTGCTGTTTATAATTAATTCATATCTCTTCAGAGCTTGAAGCTTCCGCTAGCCAAAATGAAATTCATGGGTAGTAGTATTATGACTTTAACCAAAGACCAGGTTTGTTTTGAGAAGAAACCAGAATTGGTTTGTGTCTCTTTAAAGCAACAGACAAGATATTTTTGTAACATTTAAAAACAATGAAGAGGGTTCAGCACAGGCTGCTGGGTGATAGAGAAGGGCAGGGCTTCTGACAGACTCTCTTGATGTTTTGCTCTTCCTTGTGTCCATCTGTCCTGGTTCTCAGTGGGATATTTCCCCACGCTCATTCAGTGGGAGGATACTGACATAGCTCCAGGCTCTACTTTTTATTTCCTAATTCTCCCAGGAGAAACAGCCATTCCAGAGCTTGTAAAATTTAAAAAAAAAAAAAAGAGGGAGGAGGGAATGACAGTTGTCTCATTGATTGAACCAGAAGTTCTATACAAAAACACGGACCATTCTGATGGTCTCCATATTAACACTGCGTTCAATAAATGATTTTTTTTTAAAGTGACTGCAACCCAGGAAAAAGATTTGAGGAAATAGGAAATATCTTAAAAATCACTTTATCTTCCTGCCCATTCCTTGAAAATCCATAAGGGTTGAGAGATTCAGAAAGTGCTCATCAATTAAAATTCATAAATATCAACTGGTTACTAGAGCTACATAAATATCAACTGGCAAATTAACCTGAGGAAAAAGAATGTGAAAGAAGTTAAACCAAAGAAGACAAAAAATTAGTCAACTTAGCGAGCCTGTCTTCCGGGATCATTAAATCACTTTATATTCATTTAAAACTTATTAAAAATATCTGTACAGTCAAGACAGTGGAGCAATTTTTAAATCAAATGTCAGAGTTTATTATTTTTCAATCATCCAATTTCATTAATCTCAAGCATTTACTTTGTGCAGAATATCATACTAAGGAATCCTAGGATGGTATGAAGAATTCAGGACAAAGCAATTTCAGGAAAACTAACAATAACTCTGAATTTAGCCAGGAAGAGTTCAGTTATGACACTCTAATTAACCTTCCATTTTGGTTTAGAGACACTTTATTAATTTGAGACTGCTTAATGAGGCCATTCTTAAACCTAGCAAGGAATTTTCTTTTAATAGAAATAGAAATACTAATTTTCTTACTTTCACATTCTGTCTTTCACCAATGAGATAAATGGATTCTGACTCAACTAACACATCCGGATTCTACAAGGAGCCAAACACTGTGTGAGATTGATAGGTGGTTTTTCATTTAACATTTCAAGTTGGCCAAAACTTGTTCCAAAGATTATTTGCCTCCCCATTACTGAATTGTTTTTCTATTGGATGTTGATATTAATTAATCACTGGATTTTCTTAATTCTGCCTGTTGCTCTTCTGACTTTGAGGCGCCTGGCTGTATTTCAGTGAGTTACAACTCCAGCTGTCACATTTTAATGGCCAACTAGAGGAGAAGACCTCAGTCCCCATGTCTGAGTACACAATGTTCTCTTCGTTTTAACATCAAATAGTCATCAGAGAAGAGACCCCAAGGCTTTCTTCTTTTGAAAATTAGTATTTAATTGCTTCAGAGAGTTAAGAATCTTCAGCTCTCTCTGGACTTGAATTTCCTCATCATTATATGGAGGAATTTCACTTTTAGCTTGATTTTCCAGAACACATCGAGTCCTATATGATTCACGGTTGCCTGTTACCACCTACTGGGTATGGGTTGAACATGCTTTATGTTGTAGACCAGTTGTTGCTCGTAATACTTGATTACTTGTGCAAGGGTCAAGCCAATAAAACTGCATTAAGTTTGACAGGAATTTAAGGATTCTGAAATAAGTTTTTGTGCACTGCTGGAAAAAAAAATTCCCTTTCCTAAAAGAAGTGGCAAATCTCTCTTTTGGGGGGATGCCTACAATACAAAATTTAACAAGCTTAGAATGGATTCCATGTTGGTGAACTTCATAAAGCGGAACCCATTATTCTTCTAAATGTAAATTTTAAGTTCACAGTTTCCCACAATAATTCCACTTTTAGATTTCATTCCTTGTACTTAAGGACAACCTTTTAGGAGGATGAGACTGACAGCAGTTATTTTATTCTAAAGTCTGTGACTACAAACAGATGCACATTGACCAGGCAGAAAGATATTAAAAGATACAAGTATTCTAAAGGAACATGAAAAGAGAATTGCATTTGCTACAGATTCGACTGTCTTTTAAACACATCTCCTGTATAGAAAAAAAAAAATGATTACTACTTGGAAAGATTTTTACAAGAAGACTTAAATCTCAACTCTAGCAATCATCTGGTTTGCCACAGACAAAATGCCCCATTTAGCAATCTAAAATTGCACATGGTTGTAGCAAACATACCAAGAGGATGCAGACATTGCCATGGCAAACAAAAGAAAAAGAAAAAGCAACCATGGTGAATGCTGCTTATATGAACAAAGAATGTTTTAGAGGAATGAAAGTAAACTTTCTCTTGAAGGAATCCCAGTTAGAATATCATCAAAGATGACAAAACCATTCCAACACCATAGCAGTAATACATTCCAGTTTCATTAGCACTGAGGCACAAAGCCAAATTTGTGGGGGAAAGATAAACAAAAATTCCCAGCACTGCAACAAATAAAGTGATCTTGTGAGCCTAACTCTTGAGAAATCGAAATAGATAATATTTTTGTTATAATTTTTATGACTGCCACCTAAATATAAAATTACTTTCCCTTCTCTCACTATAAATCTTTATATATAGCTGCTATTCAGTTACAGTAGGCATCATATTTATATATTTTGATAAGTCCCTCACATTGAATTTGACCCCATTTCACATGTGATTAGCAAATCCTAAATTGGAAAAGTAGGATTTTCTGTGCTTTTTAAACAAATCTGCTCCATAAGCAGTTTCTGGAGATAACCGCCTTCAGCCATTCTGGTAGCACTGTCAATCAGCCATAGGTGCTTGGTTTAAGGCAGAGAACCTGTGGATAGATTGAGCCTTCCTCCTGCACAAGCAGCTAGCTGCTCGTCACACAAACGCGTGTCTTCTCATCCTCCACTCTTTCTGCCAATCCAGCCTCTTGAATTGACCCAGGTCCACCTATCAGTCAAACAAAGAGCAATCTCTAATGACATGTGCTGACAGACCGCTCAATCCAGTTCCTCATCAACTAAATTTCATGACTATCTCTTGATATGCTTGCCCTCTCTTTACACTTTTATATAGGTCCTTACATTTGATATACTTTAGAAAGGTTTTTACTAGAAAAAAATGTCAACAAATCTTTGCGTCAAGTGAAGGAATGGTGAACAAACATAGCTGTTATCATGTTAATTATCCTGAGGTAATAGGGAGCATATCACCCTCTGTGGCAAGAGAGGTTTAAGGCTATTACTAAAATAATACTCTGAAGAGAGGCCGTAGAGCCTTCCACAAATAGCCTTACAGGGACTCAAATTTATGATATAGAAAGATCATGTTCCCTTCAGAGGAAGGTACTATGTTAGAGTATGAATTGGAGTAATATTTCACAGACAGGTTTTCTGTATATGTTGATATGATACTTAAACTTCTGAACCTCTAGATTCTCTGTAATTAGAGTAAGCTACTACAGTAATTCTTAACGTATGGTCCCAGAAAAAGTAGCATCAGCAACAACTTCGAAATTTCTTAGATATGCAAGTTCTCTGGTCCCACCTAAGATGCCAGCCCAGACCTATGAATCTGACATTCTGGAAGTGGACCCAGCAATGTAGGTTTTAACAAGCCCTTGTGATAAGTCTGATGCATGTTCAAGTTGGAGGACTATTAAATAGTGCTCTGAGTGATCAGGAAAAGCTAATGTCAACCCACTGTTTAACTCTACTTCCTCAGAGGAAAAAACTTAAAAGCTTAAATGGAAGGTTCCATCTTGGTCCAATACGTTCTCATATAGGGACAGAAATGCCTACTGTTAGGACTTACAATATAATTTGAAGGAAAATTAATCCTTACAAATATTCTTTACTGGATAACGGAGCTTGAGGCAGGCTCGCCAATCAGATAGATTTCTAACAGCTTTTCTAGATCTTTTTACAAACCAACAGCTAATCTGCTTTGCCTGATTGCCCGGGATCTAGGGGATGACCTTGACACCTTTCTCTTAAGTGATTAGCTCTGGCCCATTTGCCTTAATGCTAAAGCAGCATGTAATAGTACTGAGTTCTATTTAATGACACTGGTTTGAAGAGTGGCTATGGACTGACTGAGCTAAAATGACTACTGGTTATGAGTGATTTTTGGTTTTAGAAGACAGTTTCAAAGGCTCACAGGGCTTATAAAATCTGGAAACCACAGACAATGTAGACATCAATCCCAGGACCCCAAGGAGCCCTTTCGTTTGAATTGGTGCAGAACCGGCATAGAGAGTCAGCAAGTGATGTTGGCTTATAAAAATGGCTTAGAAAAAGGAATTTAAAATCATGAGTTGTGTGTGTGTGTGCATGTGCATATGTGTATGCATTCTTAAATCTAACCTGGAAACTATCACAGGTACTTAAAACATCCATATGTATTTTGATGCTTCCTTTTGATCCAGAAAAGTAATTCAAAGTATGCAAAAAGAGGCCAAAAATGGAAGCTTAACAGTGATATATTGGAGAAAAATGCTGGAACTATCCCTCCAAGTCTCCCTTAGAAGAAGCCAAACTTGTCAGATACTTTGGAATGACTGCTTTTTTTCAGGAATTACTAAAAAGGAATAACCGATGTATCATAATGTGTTCTAGCTGCTTCTCTAGAATCTGTGTTCCTCTCCTGCTGCTGGTCAAAATTAGAGCATTTGTGTGTCCGTTGTCTGTCTTGAAAGCATTTTCTCATTGGCTCTTTCCCCACTGTCCTATTTCTCTCTCACACACCTAATCTCCAAATAGTTGTCCCCACATCCTTCTGTCTCCACTGTTGTGCCCTTCTCCATTTGCATATTCTTTTACTTAAAGTTAAAGCCTCACTAAGAAGATACTTCTTAGAAAAAACACCAATGTCAGGGTGCTTTGGTGATGGGAAGTACACCTTTGCAGGAGGAGGGGCTGGATCAGATTGACTGGGATTCACTCAGATCCAGAGCTTTTACCTCCTCCCAGAACTTTGTGGTCCACAGTGGGTTTTCTTTTCTTTTCTTTCTTCTTCTTCTTCTTTTTTTTTTTTTTAACACTCTTAAGTCCAAGGCACATTTACAATGGTGGCTTATCTTTCTCCACAGTCCATGGTTTGTGTTTTTGGCTCAAATCTTCAAATCTTGAAACAAATCGGGGTTAAACATTTCTCTCAGAAAGCTTAGGAAATAAAGTTACATATTCTAAAGATCCTTAGTTATGTGGTCCATGAGAAAGGCCTTGACATTAGAAAGTAAGAGATAATTGTTTTCGATCTCCCAACAGCTTTGCCTTTCACTGCCATTCATGGTGATTTTCGTAGGTCAGTGGTGCAATTCAACACTATTCTAATAAGCCATAATAATCATTGTTGGCACAACTGTTATTATAATGGGGATTTCCCTGGGTTTCATCCATTAATTTTGGTAGACAGTAGGAAGCTCGCACTGAGCAGACATTTGTAGCTTCCTAGACAAGGGTAAGAGAGGGAACTAGAATACTATATATACTGCGTATATGCACAAAACACTGTTCTGTGCCATTGGGAGTGTTCTGTGGGGCGGGCAGTTTGAGAAGGAAGAATCCAAGTAGAAAACAAATTTAGAACTTCTCTCTCACCTTTGATGGTTCTGATGGCAATTTGTTCCCACTGAGGTGATCATGAATTCCCTGAATAGGACCCCTCCACCCCACCCCCTCAAAAAAGAACAGCTTTTCACATCCTGTGTCTATAGTTTAAAGGGCCCTTTACAAATAACCTTCAAAGACAGAGAGAGGGAAACTGGAAAGTGGAGAGAAGACGTTACCTTGAAAAATGAAGTAAACAATCTTAATACTCTAATTGATCCTGAAGACGTTCACGTGTCTAAAGCTGCTTTTTAAATAACTTCACTGCACTTTGAAATTCCTGAGTAGTGGTGTATCAGTAATACATTTGGATACTTAACTGAATTTTTCAGTTTTCATTCTTTCATGTTAACGAATGTAATCTCTAAGACTTACCATTTTGAGTACACACACACACAACCACATACACATATATAAAGGCATATGCACCATAGATCACTCATTTTGTGGGAAACACAATGTAAATTAATCAAAAAGATTCCAGTGGATTCTCTTAGTGTGTTTCAGTGACATATTTTGTGGGAAATAAAGGTACTCCTACCCTCTTTGCTGACCATATTGTTAAAATTATGATCTTAAGCAACGTTGTTAGAAATGCCTGTGTAAAGCATCTTCTCTAGAATCAGTGAATTGATACACTTTGAATTCAAAAAGAATATGTGCTAAACGTAAATATTTTTATATTTGTGGTGTTTTCCTATTAACCTATAGTAGTGAACAAGTGACCACACAGCTAATTTCATGAAAAAAAAAAAAATGGACTACATGAAATGTTTGAAATGGAGGAAGTTATTTATAAAGTCTACTGCCAAAGACAATTGTTTAATGATCTGTAAAATGTGGATTTCTTTTATTATGAATATGATTATAAGAAATGCTCACCCTATCATCCTCTATCTTTTGAAAATCAGTATTTTGTATTTCTAAGGACCAAGGAAAAATTTTTTTAAGCCAACGTAACACACAGACGCCTTGGAAATGAAAGGTACAATGACTTGGATCAGCTGCATAATGTTAGATTAGAATTCCAACATCTGATGGTAAATTTATCAATCTTTCCTATAATTCTTATACTGTACTAAATTAGATTTGGGAATTTCAGCTAATCTTTTCAAATTAAAGGTACCGACATTAATGACAGATCTTGTCTATCATGAAAGTCATTAAAACATTCCTTTCCAAGTACCATGAGTGGATGAAAATTACCATGAAATAATTTTCCCATCTAACCATCTCATATAAGTGAACTCAGAGGTATAACAATGTTGCATAGAAGGTTAACAGACTATGTGCACCAGGATATTTAATTTGTGCAGTTAGCAAGACCTAGCCATTTAAAATATATATTTAAATGTTTTGTAAATAAAATTTTTGATTCCTGTAGTTTTGTTCTAACTGCTATCTTTTAATATACTTCAATTTTATTTAAATTTTTACAATAATCTGTTATAAGTTAGATGTTGCTTTATTAACTCTGTGATTCAATGTACACTCAGCCATATTTCTGTGGGGAAACATCAATCCTACTGACTTTCTTGGCATGAGCCAGATATTCATAGTTTCTTTAAGGACTCTAAGTACGAGACCAAAAAACCCACCAAAATTAAATGCTAATGAAGAAATTAGAAGCCTATTGTATAAAATGTATTTTTTAAATCTGAAGATATGTGTGATTTACACTGCCTGTTAATCTAGTCTCTTTGTGAAATAACCAGAGCATATTTGTTAAGACTCTGAAACACCAAATATTTGTGATGTTTGTATAGCACCGTTATAATGTGATTTCAAGTGGTAAGCATCTTTGCTGTAATCATGTGAGCCCACAGAAAAATAAATTTTTGCTGTTATGTACAACCAGCTCTCAGAATTCGGATTTCCTGCAGCTGCTGTATCACCAATAAATGAGAATTACTTGTGAAAAACAATTTTTAAAGAATTGAGTTTATGATCACTGTGCATTTTCTTAATGAATAAATTCTGAGAGTTTTATATTTTACCGGAAATGCTCTGTCAGTAAACACAATTGCTGATTTTGACCATACTATCATTTCAGTGGTTTCTATATTCTTGATCTAACTACCAAAAACTGGAAGCTAATGCAAGGTGTATTCTAACAAATGTACAATAAATGATTTTTCCTGCATGCTGCCTGAGGTATGTTGTAATTTAAAATGTCTTATAAAAAATATATATAAATTTCACAACCCCAAATTGAACTGGCAATAGTACTCATGTGTATAATCAATGGTATGTTAATATCAAAATCAAAAGCATTGTCTGTCATACATGTATGTTACATGTGATGTTTAACTTGTTAAACGGTAATCAGTGAAATGTTCATTGCCTGAACTAGTCGATTCTGTACAAATCATTGTCTTAACTGTTTTCCTAATCTTACCATATTTCCTAACACTTAAATATAAATGTTTGTAAGTAAGCCATTCATTTTTGTGGATTTTTATGTATCTTCAGTGTGACTCCATTAACTAACCCAAAGGAGATTCAAAGCTTTCCCCTATCATAGTCCAATCCAAGCCCAGGGACATTTTAGCTATGGCAAAAATTCATTCACTCATCAAACAAATATTTATTGAGCATCTACAGCAAATCAGGCTCTATATTAAATACTGGGAGAATTCTTGAGAACCAGAGTAATCACAAATCTATATCTCCCAGTGAGGATTTCTGAACTCTCCCTAAACAATTCTTCCGTGATTTCATTGGAATTAAGAAATTGTTTTGCTTCTCCTACGTTGTAACAAAGATAGAAATTATCCAAGAAGACTCTTAGATTAAAACAATATATATTTGGCCCAGGAAAATGCAACTATCGTTCACAGAAGTATGGTCTTAAAAATAAAATTTAAAAGTAAATTAAAATAAAAGTCAATTTAGGAGACTCAATCAACCCTAACTCTGGAAGAAACACTTAAAAGACCCCCTCTTGAAAACTGTATATTGTTTGTTCTAAAACATTAATCTTAAGGTTCTTTGCTACACATAAAAAATGTCATCAGATCACATTTCCTAAAATGGTGCCTCTGCAAGTGAGCAAAGCATTCTGTAAGAGAGGAGGAAAATGGCTGGCGAAAGGATAAATATTTATCCACAGATGCCAAAGAAGGGAATATATCCAGGTTGTTTTCTCAGTAACAGATTTCCTTACATGTATCGTGTGTGTTTACCACTTTTTAAAAGTGCTTGTACATGCAGACACACAGCAAGATTCATCTTTCCCACCACATTCTCATTTTCCTTATTTCAAGGAGATACCCCCATAAAACCTCATGGCTCCTGTCATTATGGTGCTTAGGGTAATGAGGTTGACAAGTGGTCTATGCCTTGACTTTGGTATCATGAACTAATTTTTGCAGCATTTGTAATTCCTCTGAACTTGTTAAAAACAGTTATAACTTGCCTTTCTCATAGATATTTATTTCTTTATTGTAAATATTTGCTAAGCACTGGAGATGAGGTTAGATTTGTTCACACAGCCACATGTGCTCAAGATGGAACAGCGCCCACCAATGCTGGCTTGTGGAGTCAAGATTCAGATTCTAGCTTGGTCAGTCTACGTGGATAATCATGTAAAAACTCCTTTGCCATTCTAGAAATCTTGAGTTTCTTGTATATAAAAGTGAGAATCATAGTATTTGATTTTTAGGATTGTACTAGTAAGGGTTGAATGAAACAATGAATATTTATTAAAGGCCTGGCACAGTACTTGATATTCATAAGGCACTCAATGACTATTTGATGGTATTTATGTCCTATACAGACATAAACCCCTCCTTATACCAGTGACAAAAACTTCTTGACCAAACTTGTGCCAAGTTCCTCTGGAGATCTCTTCTTGACTAGGCCCTGAACTTAGGCTATGTCCTTGGTCAGCTTAGTCTACTTTTTGCAAAAAATCCTGCTGGGTCAGTTTAGTGAAAATTCCCCACCCTTGATATTGAATTATATTCCTCATCTCCCGCTCTTGCTATCAAATCATCCTGGCCTGCCTTCAGCAAGAATTATGTTGAGTGTAGCAAAATCCACCCAGCTTTGATGTCTCCTCTTAGTAATTTTTCATCCATTGCCCCCTATCCTGCTCCTTGGCTATAAATCCCCACTTGTTCTCGTTCTATTCAGAGCTGAGCTCAGATTCTCTGCCCCATTGCAGTAGTCCCCTTCTTGAAGTATTCCTTACTATCTTTAACAAGAGTCCTAATCGATTTTTCTTTAACACCAACATCTTCCATGCTGAAGATGAAGAAATTAAATCAGCTAAGTTAGAATTATCTTTATTGTAATAGCTTTAGCCAATATTTGAGTGCTTGCTATTAACCAGGCAATATACGAAGCACTTGGATTATATCCCAAATGCTCACAAAAACCTTCTGAAAAGAGTACAATTTCTGCCCCTTTTTACATGATAACTCAATGCTTAGAGAACTTAAGTACTTGCCCCAAATTACACAGCTACTAAGTGGCAGAAACAGAATTTAGATTCAAGTCTGATTCAAAAGCTTAAGCTTATGATCATTGTGTTATTCTGCCTCTTTTTATCGATCTTAAAAATATCTACTAGCATTGAGTGAATTCCCAAAATGACATAAAGTGATAGCAATGTCTGCCAATATATACAACCAATGCAATCAACCTATCATCACCAGGTTAGTCAAAAAATTCCATTCAGATTTGATAAACAACTCCGTAGTAACAATCTTGCATCATTATTATCATAGATCATATAATTTGTGACAAGAGATTATGTAGAATGTCAAATCAGTAAAGAGACTTTAGTTAATATCCCCCAGGTGCAAGGAAAGCACACTAAATAAGTTCTCCATGCCTCATCAAAGTCACCTAGGAAACAGTTCATCCAACATCACCTTCAATATTTCAGACAACCATGAAGAATGGACACATTTCCTTCTAGCTGTTTTGTCCTGCCTTATCTGTATACATCTGATTTGAGAACAAAAATAAATCTAATTTCTCTTACAAATTTACAAGACAATTCTTTTCTTTTAACAAAGAAAGTTTCAAGATTATCCAGAACAACAACAAAAAGTACATGACTGTGGTAGATAATCCATTAAATGGGAACAATTACAAGTCTGAAAACGGGCTTGAATACACCAGGAATTCTTTGTTATTGCAAATGACCATTCTGTTCTAAGATTATCCACAACACTAGCTATGTTGCAGCTGTATTTTCATCATCTGTGAACAGCTGTGATTCCCCAGTTGTGCCTAGTCTGTGTGCTTATTGCCTACATACCACATAGTCACTAAGACAGGGAAAGACAGTAGAATCAGATCCAGAGACCTGTCAGTAAACTCGATTTTTCTCTTCATTTAGACCCCTATAATTGAACATGTTTAATGGTAGACTCCTACAACAGGATCCTACAACTTTATACGCTTACATATGTAGAACTGTTAGTAGCTCTTCTTAGGATCTGTGCTCGGCTATTCAAATGAATATCAACCCATTTCAAGGAATAGTGGCGGACACACCACAGACACACAATTAGTGTAAGTTCACATTCAATCTTTGGTTGGAACTTTAGCCAGATCCTTCTTAAGTGCCTGTTTCCATATATCATCTGTTGGTTGAAAACAGAATGCCATGAAAGATTTTCAGAAATTCTGAGATGATAAATCTGTAACATGTGAAGGTTATCTATGATGGCCAAGGCATATGCCATCTATTGAAAGAAAATTATATCATCTGAATGATAACATTGACCTTCATTACCAAAATCTGATAACACAGGGAAATTTTTATTTACTTATAGCAATGAAAAACTCTTAAATAGGCTATCTGCAACAAGGGATTTATTCTGGGTTCTTTTTCTTACTATATGTCAGTAAAAACAAGGTATAAATGTAATAAGAATCCAATAACACTAACTAGAAAATATGACAAAAGGTCAAGCCCTCAGCAAACAGTTGCACCTGTTCTGATAGCTCCACTTTTACTTTGTGAGAAAAAAAATGTTAACAATCTTCTTTGGTTACCATGAGAACTAGAGGACAAACAACAAGCACGTTTCCTGGAGGGAAAAAAGCATGTGGCCATCTGTTCTAAAATTCTAGCCAACAAATTCCAAGCGTATGTAAGTCCCAGCCCTAAAGAAGCCAGGACTTGGAGATGCAAGTGAAAAAATATTGTCCTTGATTAATCTGAGGGCACTCATGTTTAAGGACAGCACAATAAGAAATGAGGTAAAAGTCATGGTTCCTGCTGTTATTGATACAGAAAATCTCTATTATTGTGACTGAAGCCACCATGTGCCTCATCTCTCACACATTAGTGAGGATTCCTACTAAGCCAGAGTTCCATAAATTGCAAGGGGAAGATTAACTTCAAATTCCTAACTAATATCCTTTTGTTGACAAATTAGAAGATAGAGATTTCTCTCAAACATCCTTCCCCAAAGGCTGTTCAATTCAATGGAAATGAATTACCAGAGCACCTGTGTCTTTCTGAATATGATTTGAAGCAAAGTCCAGATGTCATAAAACATCAAGTTGTCAAAAAATGATTAAAACACACATTCACACACACAATGGCTACAAGAAAAACAAAGACAGTATCAGAGCCTTTTAGAATTGATGAAGGTTGAAATAGAAAAAAAAAAAGGCAAATTTCAGACTCTTTAAGTTCAGTCAACCAGGAGACTTCATTTTATTTGAGTCAGAGGACACTTGAGATGTAGCAACCATGTGTTGCAGCCATGGGAAGCGCCAGTGCTTGATCTACTGAGATATTTGAAAAATCGCTATGCTCTGATCTCCCCATGTCGAGTAAATCCTATGAGTCTAAGTGTCACTCTGCTGCATTACAGTTGCCTAACTCCTAATATGCCTCCAGAGGGGTACTATAGAATAATGGTTAAGAACATGAATTCTGGACCCAGACTACTTGGGTTGAAATGCTGGCTCTGCCAAACTGTGTGATCATGGGCAAAATATTAATCTGTGCCTCAATTTCCTCATCAGCAAAATGGGAAGAACAATAGCACCTATCTCATGGGGTTATTGTAAAGATGAAGTTAGAAAGTATATGGCACATAGTGAGTACCATGTAGATGCTACAAACTATCATCTCTGCCATAAGAGAAAGAGTTGTGATTGGTTCTATTT